CACACACACACACACACACACACACACACATTTCATAGCTGGTTTATGTCATTGTTGTAATTATTAACATAGAATGATAATGATAGCTAGGATTTATTGAACATTTACCTGGCCAGATCCTGTGCCAAACACTACATGCATTACATCACTAATTCCTTTTTTTTTTTTTTAAGTTTTATTTATTTATTTGTCAGAGAGACAGAGAGAGAGTATAAGCAGGAGGAGTGGCAGGCAGAGGGAGAAGCAGGCTCCTGGCTAAGCAAGGAGCCGGGATTCCAGCCTAGGACCCTGGGATCATGACCTGAGCTTGACTGACTGAGCCATCCAGGTTTCCCTACATCACTAATTTCTAATAGCAATTTATTTACAGACGAGGACAGTGAAGTTCAGAGTTGGTGGCGTGGGAATCCAAACCCAGGCCATTCTTACTCCTCTACTAGTACTGCTACTTATTCCTTTGTCTTCACTCGGTCCCTTCATTGTCCCCAGGGATCCAGGCAATTAGCAGTCCTGAGTCAGAGGCTGACAACTGGGATATATAGATGGTTTCATAGTTTCCAAAGTGTTTTCATGGTGGTGACCTTGAATCTCAGCAGGGGCACTGGCCAGGAAGTAGGCCTAATCTTTACCAGAGGAGTAGAGTCCTAAGACTCAGAGAAAGAAGGGGCTTGCATGTTGAATGGGAGTGGAGGAAAGACTCCTTCCCTATTCTGCAAGTCAAAAGTCCATCTTGAGCATGAGGGAACTGAGGATGGAGGGCAGAGTTAGATGCTGCTCCTTCCTCAGGGCAGTGTTGGCCCAATTAGTGCCGTCACCCATACGATCTCAGGAATAGTCAGTGCAGGGTTAGCAGCTTTAGGGTGAGGGTTCTACTCAAGACCCAGGAATTACAGAGAAAAGAATTACAAATGCTCCTTCACTTGCCACACACTGAAGTGGTTCTCAAGCCATGTTTATAACGGCAAATCCCCAATGTTCAGAAGAAATGACATAAGGGAACCTTGGATGTTTTTCAAGGTTGTGTTTTCCTTTTACATATTATTGATGCTTTGGCATTTGTGGTTGCTTATCAGAACCAGAATCTAACAGGAGTTGGTATCTCGGATGGCCCCAGATGGCAACTGTAGTTATTTGAGGGTGAACAGGTCCGTGTTTCTCGATGTCTTCACAGACAAGCTCCCGAGTCCTAGGTGCTTTTCTACCTGAATATGCCTCCTCCCAGGGCGGGACTGCTTGCCTGCTTGCTTGCTTGCTTTCCTCCCTCCCATTCCAGGAAGGAAACCCAGAATGTTTCAGTCTGTTTTTTCCGTTTGTTTCTGCCTCATTCCTTGGGGATATAAAATCTCACCAGTGGCAATAGCTCACAAGAGTCTGACACCGACGTATGTGTACGGGGATGTGGGCCTGTGTGTGTTTGTGAGTGTTGTAGGGTGGATGCTCTTTGCCCTGTGGGTGGAACTGACAGAGCTGACATACCAAAGACTTGCCCACTGTAGAGATCCTCAGAGGTAGACAGTGGCTCTTAGGGACAGGGCTCTGCATGTCCTTCTCTGTCTCTTTTCTTGACACGGTGTCCAGGATGCCAAAGGTATGCAGTCACCATTTGCTTACTGAACGCACAGGATCTGACCCTCTATACCTGCACTGTTCAGTACAGTGGCCACCCATCCATGCGGTGGTGCGTTTGAAAACGGTGACTGGTCCAAACTGAGATGTGTTGTAGGTGTCAGAGAGACACTGGATTTTGAGACTGAATGGAGAAAAGACTGTAAAATAATCTCCTTAATGGTGTTATATTGATTTCATGTTGAAGTGATGGTATTTGGAGTTTATTAGGTTAAATAAAATATTTAATTTACCCATTTCTTTTTATTTTTTTGTGGCTAGTAGAAAATTTAAAATCCCACGTGTGGCTAGCATTATATTCCTTTTGGACAGTGCTGCCCTAGAAGCATCATGGCCTGAAGACAGAGCAGAGATATTGGATTCAAGAATCCTAGCTCTCTGAGTGACCTTGGGTTAATCCCCTAATTTCCAGAGCCTCAGGTTCCTCGTCCGTATAAAGGAGGTAGATTCACGAAGTGGCATACAGTACGTCCTGTGGTCAGAGCCTAGCACTGTTAAAGCACAACCTCTGTGCTCAGGCTCAAGACAGATGACCCCACATGCTCCATTCCTCCAGCCCGGGACACCCTCTCCTTCTTCTGGGACAGCCTCCTCCCTGCCGCGCCAGGAAGCCTCCCTAATTGCCCACTCACTCACTCTTGCCTTCATCCATTCTCAGGGATTGAAGAGCTACTCGGGGCCAGCCCTGCACTGGAGACAGGAAACCAGGCACCTGGATGAGCCTCTGACCTGAGCCCCAGAACCCACAGGCTAGCCTGAGAGCCAGACATCCAGCTTCATAGGCAGGCACCTGCGCAGAGGTGAGGCCAGGGCCCAGTCCTCTGGGAGGCCTGAGAGGCCGGCTCAGTCTTCAGGAATCACCCCTGGGTGCCTTTGAGTGTCCCAGGACCTGTAGGCAGCAGCTGGCCCTCAAGTCCTTTGGCCCACGTGGCCAGGTCATACCACAATGAACTTAAAAGACAGTCCATGCGCTTGTAGGGAGACAGATTGCCAACTGCAAATAATTATTCAAATAATAATTCAATGCCAGTGTGGCGTATTTCCCTCCCAGCTGGGAGGGAAAAGAACAGAATGCTCTGAGAATATGTAACATGTGAACTCACCTGGCCTGGGGACCTGTGGGAGGTGTGTTATTTGGAGGAAGTGTGGGGAGGAGAAGGCACATTCTGGGTGGTAAGATGCTGAAGTGGGAACAGACCACACAGGGCCAGAACCCAGGGAAGTGTTCCAGTGTTTTATTCTATAGAAAGGCCATTCAAGGGCTCTAAGCAGGGGGGTGAGTTGCCTTTTAAATGATCACTCTGGCCATATACAGACAGACGAGGTGGTGCTGGGCAGAAGGATGAGGGTGACCCCTCAGGGATGCTGTGGCAGTAGTCTGGGGAGAAGATGGAGTGGGGAACAGCACGGCGAACACAGTGGTGGGTTCTCAGTGTGGTCTGGACATGGGATTGGCAGCCCTAGGTGTTTGGATGGGGGTAAAGGAAGGGAATCCGAGGAAGTGCCCCGTTGCACATAGTCGGGGTGCCATTTTCTGGGATGAGTGAGGTTGAGCTGGAAGTAGGTCGGAGGAAGAGAGATTCCTCCACCAGGCCTGGACTTGCTGGGGATCAGAGAGACCAACCATGGCCTAAATACTGCCCAAGCAGCCCCCACACTGCAGGGAGGAGCTGTGGTAGAAGGAAGCACTTTCTGCTGCTGAGAAACCCAAAAAGGACAAGACACCCTGCTGCAGGGTGGGGAGAGACCAGGGCTGCCCAGCTCTGAACAGAGAGAAGAGGGTGACACTGGCAAGGCCTGTGATGAGCCACTGGACGGGCCAGGACAGTGTCACGCTTCTCCACCTTCTGAGTCAAGGACCAGGGGCCATTCATCCAAATCACTGGCTTCAGATGTCCACAGACTCCAGAGATGGACGAGAAGCATTCTGTGTGGGCTGCAGGGGGGAAAAGGGGACATATAGAGGGCAAGGAGTGGCTACAGACAAGGATAGTCTTTGCTGTTGCTACTGTTAAGAGTAGTAATCACTAGACTAATGGTCACTATTGCTCGAGCACTTTTACTGGTGTCTTGCCCTGCACCAAGCACTTTACTCTTGGATGCCTTTAATGACCTCACAACTACCCAGCCTGGTTGGGGATGGTGTCCCCATCTTACAACTGAGACAGCTAGGGTTCATAGGGGTACAGTGACTTGCCTGAGGCCACACAGCCAGGAAAAGGCAGGACTGGGACTCTGCATTCACATATAATGGGCCCCTTATCACCAGAGTGATTAGCTTGGGTATGGATACAAATTTTCAGGTTTTCCTCTCTTGCACCTTAAGACTTGTTTCCCCCCTCCAAAATCCATGTATTTAAATTTTTCTTTGTGGATTCTTTTCATTTCTCTATTCAATTACTCAGTCATTCACTTGCCAGTGAGCCTCTACCATGGGCCAGGCCTTAGGCTGGCCATACTGGGGATACCACAGTGGCTAAGGTGGACTGGGGACCTGGCCTGGAGCGTGGAGGCCATTCCAGCAGAGAGGGATCAGGGCCCAGATGGGGGGAAGCCCAGAGAGATGATCTCACCCAGCCTAGAGGGTGCTCAGGGAAGGCTTCCAGGAAGCCTGAAGGATGGGAGGAATTAGGTGGGTAATGGGAATTGGATGAAGAAAGCATGTTTCAGACAGAATGGACAGATGGGCCCAGGTTCAGAAATGAGTGCCTGCACCCGAGCTGCTGCTTGGAGCTGACGGGGAGTGGAATGCAGAGTGTGGGGTGGTGGCGTGGGGACCAGAGAGGGCTGTGGGGAGACTGCAGCCAGAGGTGGCCTTTCTCCCTTAGGAGTCGCGAGGGGCGTTGGCCAGTGTGACCTGATCAGATCTGGTTTGGGCCAGATCTCTGGAGCTGAAGTGTGTCATTTGGAGGGGGCAGCCCTGCGGCCCTGCCAGAGACAGCTGCGGTGGTCCAGGTGGGAGATGACAGTGGCCCAGCAGGATCCAGCACTGTTCTGTCACACTGTAGCTACAACTCTCTCTTAGTCGTCAGTTGCCTAGTCAATGGTTTGTGCAGGGAGAGAACTGTGGGTGCTTCTTGTTCATAGCTGTATCTGCCCAGCCTCTAGCAGGGGTCTGGCACACACAGGCTCTCGGAGGGAACTGGCAGTGTAGACGTGGGGCAGGGTGGACGAGTGGGATTATGGTGAGGTCTCTCCAGTACCAGGTATGGGCCCATGGCCTGGGCCCGGGAAAGACTTTTCCCCAGGGTCTAGGTTGGACTTTTGGCCTAGGACCGACTGGGCGGAGTGGGATTTTAGGAAGTTTCCTCTGGCAGCAGCCACATGGCTCTGGCTAACAGGGACCCTCTCTGCTCACCCCAGGAGCCCTGAGGATGGCGCACCTGCTGGGCAGCCAGTCCTGCATGGACAGTCTGCGCAAGGACCTTACTGACCTGCAGGGCGCCATCGTGGATGTGTTCTCTCGAGCTGGGCCTGTGTGCTTTCCCTCCTGGAAGTTCCCTGACCGCGTGGCCTGCGACCTGGACATGGTGGCCCTGCTAGAGCACTATGACCATGTGCCGGGTGACCCCGAGTTCACACAGCTGTCCCATGCTGTTCTGCTGGAGCTGGTCATCGACAGGTGAGGGCCTTGACTGAACCTTGACTGATCTCGGGATGCTGGCATCTGCCCCTTAAACCGGTAGACCAGCCTCAGGAATCCCCGCCACCGCCCCCCCCCAAGCAGGGATACGGAGGCCTGCCAGCTCAAGGGCCCTCACAAGCCATCTCAGCTTGTGTGGTGTGCTGTGCTTTCCCCCTCCTGTCTGCCCTCAGGGAGTTGCGGGTCCCCTCTTGGTCTCTGCAGCACTGCAGCTCTGAGGGCCACCTCTCCAGCTTCTGTCGGCCGCCTCCTTAGGCCTTCTGTGCGTTGGGGACACCACAGCTGCTGCTCAGAGTTTCCGTCCCAGGCCCTTTTTCCTGGTGTCTTGTGGGCTATGCCATTCCCAGTGTGTGTCACAAGGTCAGACACGGGGTGTGTTTTTCTAGATTCTGGCCCTGTTGGGAAGATTGCCCTACAGCCCCTCCACTTCGACATTGTCATTAAACTTAACATGGCCATCAGCCTTCTACTTCCTGGGGACCACCACCCAGGCTCCCTGGGACCAAAACCATACACGGAAATCATGGAGACCTGACAGGCAAGGACAGTTTGGGCATGACCTGCCTGGGGACAAAGAAGCCAGGGTAACCACCTAGAGGCATGGAGGCACCCTCAGTATGAAAGTATTTGGAACCCGTGAGAGGCTAAACACGTATAAGCACAGAACACACCTTCCTCCTCCTTTTTTTTTTAAAAGATTTTATTTATTTATTTAAGAGAGAGAGAGCAGATGAGTGGGGGGCGGGGAGGAACAGAGGGAGAGGGAGAAGCAGGCTCCCCCTTGAGCAGGGAGCCCGATGTGGGGCTCGATCCCCTGATCCCTGGGATCATGACCTGAGCCAAAGGCAGACGCTTAACCGACTGAGCCACCCTGGCACCCCAAACGCACCTTCCTTTTTCCCTGTCACCCTCTACTAGGAACGCCCTGCCCATCCCTTCCTGGTCTGGCCAAGCCCCACTCATCCATCAAGGCCCAGTCTCCCTATGCCCCTGTGAAGCTGTTGCTCACATGTCTTCCCACCTCCTCTGTCAAGACCATGCTCTGTCTTCTTTCCAGGCTCTCCCCCGCGCCCCCCCCCATGCTGCCCAGCACTGCAAAAGGCACAGTTGTCCCCATTCACAGAGGAAGACACCTCAGCTCAGAGAGGGGCAGGGCCTGGAGGCAGTTGGTGTCTCCTCCTCCAGGCCTTTTCTGCCCAAGACCCTAGTGAGTTTAGGATGACCCCTCTGCACCTGGAACAAGACAAGGTCACTTACCTGCCCCATATGTTTTGTAAATACAATACCTCTTCCTTTAAAATAGTTTGGTTCCCATGCAAATACAAACTTGTCCTTCTCATGCCTCTCTTCCTTAAAAGTAGCCCGACTCTAATTGTGAACACTGAAGTTAGGATAGACCCCTAGCGGTCTTCATGTCTCCAGTGTCACAGAAGCAGCTTGCTGGGCAGGAGAAGACCCTGACTAGAATCAGGAAGCTGCAGGCGCCCCAGCCCTGCATGCTCACCCTGAGGCTATGGGCAGGCCCTTCTGCTCCCGGGGTCTCAGCTCTGTCCTCTGTAAGGTGAAGGCTCTGAGCCACGTGATGTAATGCCACCACCCACCCAGCACTTTCGGAGCACACACAATACAAATGAAGCGAGACCCAGTCTGCCAGAGCATCCCAATGTGGTGGGGAACAGCCAGGCGGAAGTGCTGTCAGCCAGGAGGCCCAGAAGATGCCCCCAAGTTCAGCCCTCAGGGAGGGCTTCCTGGAGGAAGTGGCTCTTGGATTCGAAGCTGGTCCAGCAGAGCATATTCTAAGGCCCTCCAGGTCCGCAGAGCCAGAGGCTGCTAGTTGTGTGGTGTGCAGGCATGCTGGTGCCAGGCTCTACCCTAGCTGACCCTGCCGTCCCTGCCCGCAGGCTCCTGCTGCTGCTTCAGAGCTGCACGAGCTTCTTGGAGGACCTTGGCTCAGAGCAAACAGTGCCCCCTACCCGGGCTGTGGGGCCCTGCATGTCTGTGGGGCTCACGGTGCGGCGCTTCTGGAACAGCCTGCTGAGGCTGGGTGTGATCTACCAGCAGGCAGCTCCCCAGGTGGGTTAGTCACCCTCACACCTGTCCACCCTGCCCCAGTCCCGGCTTCCTTGCACACCACGCGTGCACACCTTTACTGGCCTCACACTGCCTGAAGGAGTACAGTGTCAACTCTGGAGCCTCCCAGTCAAGGCCCCTGCAGCGTGCAGTTAGCAACGCAGGCCTCGGGGGTCATGTCTGGGCTCTCTGGCTCTGCTGTTTATGCTGAGCCTACCCTGCACCTCAGTTTGTTCATCTGTACAGTGGGAATAATAACAGTCTCTACGTCTCGGGGCGTTGTTGGGTGATACTGTTAAATGTTCGCCCCATTTGTTATGGCTTATCCTGTAATCTTCACAAATCCCCGTGAGGACCACCATCACCGTAACAGGGAGGAAAGGAAAACAGAGCAGCTATGGTGACATGAGAACAAGCAAGTCCACTGGGCAAGAACCCCATAACCAGCACAAGGCTGGTGGCTTCACTGTTACACTCTCGTACCATGCACGGAACTGCACAGAGCCTGGGGAGGGGGACGGGGGCAGCAGAGAGTTGGCCTACTTGGTAAGTTGAGGCAGTGAAGAAAGAAGGTTCTCTCTCTCGTTCACATTGGTGTCAGATAACCCCTAAGGGTCTGAGCATCAGGAGAGGCTGCACAGAATAATCCCCAGGAAACTGATCCCCCTCCCAGGCCCATCTCCCTCATCTGCTCTCCCTTTCTTTTCCTGACCACAGAAAAGGGTAAACCAAGGGGAGAACCTCACCTCCAAGCCCACAGCCAAGGGCGAGCCAGCCAGGAGCCCTGAATTTGTGACTGCCAAGTTCATCAAGCCCCCCTCCCCGACGCCAGGCTTGCCCCAGACCTGCCAAGAGCTGGACAGCCTCCCCGTCAGAGTCTCCCCACGGTGTCCAGCCAGGACTGCCAAGAACAGGAGGAGCGTTCACTCCCAGACGGTGGAGACGGCCCTGGTGCCCTGTGATGCATGCACCAGCGTCCAGGGCAGCCTGCGGGAGGTGGGCAAGGCGCTCATCAGCCTGTGTCAGAGCCAGAACTTGCCCTCGTCCTTAGGCCAGTTCCAGCAGCTGGTGCAGGACAGCATGGGCCTCAGGCCGCTGCCAGCCGCCACCCTGGGCCACTGGGCAGCAGAGCAGAGCAAAGACCTGACCCGCCTCAGTAAGCACGTGGGGGCCCTCACTCAGCTTGTTGGACCACTCAGGGCCCAGCTGGAGGAGGCCGAGGGGCAGAAGGACGGACTGAAGCAGCAGGTGGGCCAGCTGGAGCAAGCACTGCAGCAGGAGCAGGGGGAGCGGCGGCGACAGGCGGACGAGGCCGCACGGCAGCTGGTGGAGTGGGGGCGCAAGAGGCAGCAGCTTCTCACAGGTCTGTGCCCCGGAGGCTGAGCCCGTAGTCCCCGGGCTCTGCTGCAGCCCTAGCGCGGGCTCTCCTGGAAGCAGGCCCCGTAACAGGGCTGCAGGGACACGTCGCTGGGGTGAAGAAGCCCAGGCTAGGCAGTGGGGTCAGAGACACCGAGGGAAGGCAGCTCACCAAGCTGCTTACCCTGCAGGCAACTGGAGCTTCGTCCCACTGGGGAGCACTGGAGCTGGTGGTGTAGAACACGTGCCTCAGGGCTGGCCCCTCAGAGGGCAAGGGAGCCGGGGAGTTCATCCGCCCACTCCTGTGTGTCCCTGAGGGGATCCCCCAGGGGAGCTGAGGCAGAGAGACAGCCATGGCACTAGAAGCGGGCCAGTGCCCGCTGGTGGTAGGAGGCCTGAGGGATTTGGGCAGGTCACTTTCCTGAGCCTGTCACCTCTGTGGAGGCCCAGAGCCGTGTAGAGACCTGGCAGCCGGCCAGTAGGAAGGAGGGGAAGGGCCCAGGCCTTCTGGCACCTTCTGCAGGCCCAGGCAGCCACTCCACACAGCACCAGCTGCCCCGACGCTGCAGGGTGTGCTGGGCGTGAAGGCACCAGCCAGGCCCAAGGGAGCCTCTGAAGGGCCTCTCTCTCTCGACTGCCGTAGAAACAAGTGACCTCAAGACGAAGGTGGCCACCCTGGAGGGGGAGCTGAAGCAGCAACAGGAATCCATGCAGGCCATAGGTGAGGAACCCCATCGTGTGGCCCTGTACCCCGTGTCCTGTGCTGGGTGGTGCAGCTGGATGAGCACCCTCTGTCTCTGTCCCCCGGGCTTCTGGGAACCACGAGACGGGGCCTGACTGGCCACACTGTTGGGTGATGGCCAGAGTTGGGGTGCCACCTCCCACCCAGAGAGCACCTTCTGTTTCCATGGAAGGGTTGAGGCCGCATTTTGTGCTGAGGACGCTGAGGCCCAGAAACAGGCTGTGACCCCTCGCACCCCACCTCAGGTCCCATCCTGGGTCAGAGGCAGTGCGGGGACTTGCACCCAGGCTTCGCCTGCTCTACCCCTTCCCGTGCCCACTCAATCCTTCAGAGACAAAGGCCCGGCAGCTTCAAGAGGAGGCCGAGCGCAGGGCAGAGGCCGAGAGGCAGGTGCAGCAGCTGGAGGAGCAGGTGCAGCTGCTAGCAGGGCGGCTGGATGGGGCCAGCCAGCAGATCCGCTGGGCCAGCACAGAGCTGGACAAGGAGAAGGCCCGTGTTGACAGCATGGTCCGCCACCAGGAGGTGAGGCCCCCAGCATCTGGGGGTGTCTGCGACGTAGGCTGCAGGAAGAGAGAGCTCCACTGGCGGGGGGTGGGGGTTTACCTGGGTAGGGTACCTGCTCCCCATCACACACTCAGGTTTTTGTTTGATCTTTACCAAGAGTTTGAGCCCTCCCCTGAACCCCGGGCCCTGGGGAAACAGTGATCCAGGGACAGATACAGCCAAAGGAGGCCTTGTTCTGGAGGAATGCCCCGCCGCCCGGTGAGGACAAGCAGCCTGGCCACCATAGCTCTGCCGCCAGATGGCTAAGAGGTGCAGCGAAAGTACTGCAGGGGTCCACAGAGGGACAGTCCCATCTGTTTGTGGGAATCCAGGATGGCTTCTGGGAGGAAGTGGCCTTTGAACTGGATGCCAAGGGCCAATGATCAGTCCATCAGTCAGAGGAAGGACAGGGAGGACAAAGGGTGAGCCGAAACCCAGGATACAGCTGTGCCCTGGGCATTGGGGCCTTGTAGGAATCCTTAAAGATAGGGCTGAGGGAGCAAGTGACCTGCCACCTAGAGCAGCGGATAGGGCTGAGAACTGTCCTGTCTGGTCTTACTCTCAGAGGCTCGGAGGGGAAACCCAAGACCCCAGGTAGAAGTCCCCAGCATCAGGCACGGCCCAGGCTGAGAAAGCCTTTCAATGCCAAGCAGGTGCTTTTCTCAGTGCCCTGTAAACAGTCACGGTCACCAGGTATCAGATGTGTGCTGTGAACAAGGGGCAGGGCCTTGGCCTCTGTAGCCCTCTCGTTCTTCTTCCTCACCACAATAGGTGGTAGATACTCTTGTCATCCCTATTTTATGGATGAGGAGACTGAGGCTCGGGGAGATTAAGGAAATTACCCAAAGCTGCACAGCCAGCCAGAGGTAGAGCCAGGACTTGGAGCAGACCGGCACTGGTTCTTCCTGCTTTGCACTCAGTGGGTGTCAGGAAGAGTGGGTCCCGAGTGAGGTGGGCTGATGGAACACGGGAGACCTAAGAAGAAAATGTATTGCCCAGAATTCCTCTCCCAGTGGAGACTGTGACTGGAAAGAGGGGGTATGAGACTGATAGTCAATCAATTGCTTTCCAAAGGGGTAGGGGTCTGCAAGCTGGGGGGCCTGGCCCTGACTGGGTTGGGGGGGTCCAGTGGGGTGTGCACCTATCTCGCTTCTGCCCCTTCTGCTACACACATGTGCACAGCCTCCTCTCTGCACAGACGGGGCACAAGGAGGAGGGTCAGAGATACCATGGCCTCCCTTGTCCCATGGCTGGGCCTTGCCCTGTGGGCCTCACGGCTTCCCTGCCTGCCCGCCCTGGCTCAGTCCCTGCAGTCCAAACAGCGAGCCCTGCTGCAGCAGCTAGACAGCCTGGACCAGGAGCGTGAGGAGCTGCGGGGCAGCCTGGACGAGGCCGAGGCCCAGCGGGCCCAGGTGGAGGAGCAGCTGCAGAGTGTACAGAGCGAGAGGGAGCAGGGGCAGAGCCAGCTCCTGGCCCAGCAGGTAGGAGCCAGCAGGGTAAGGTGCGGGACAGCTCTTTCCTTTCTCCAGGTGGAGTGCCTGCAGGCCTCTCCCGTGTCTAGATGGGAGGGGGGTGTCCCCAGGGGAGCCGGGAGCCATTCCTTGGGTAAGGCTTGAGCCTCCCCCTGTCCCAGGAGCTGCTGCAGAACCTGCAACGGGAGAAGCAAGGCCTGGAGCAGGCCACGACGGATCTGCGGCTGACCATATCGGAGCTGGAACGAGAGCTCGTGGAGCTGCGGGAACGGGAGCGGCTGCTGGTGGCCTTTCCAGACCTGCACAGACCCATCGAGGCCCAGATCCCAAGTAGGGGCCCAGAGGTGCTGGCCAGGGCATGTTGGGACCTGGACAGGCAGCTGAGGGCTCACCTGGGCAAGACACTGGAGTCTGTAGCTCCCCGGCCTGCAGCACAGTCCCTACTGAGTCCCCAGGACACAGTGCTTCATGTGTTCGCCACTCTGTGTAGATGGGGACACAGAAGCCCAGAGGCGAGGGGACTGCCCACTGTCGAATGGCTGAGTCTGTGTGTAGGTCTAACCGCGTCTGTAGCCTGTGCTCTTCACCATGTTACGTGCCAGTCCTTGCTCAGCGTCCTGGTGTCCCTTGTCCTGGTGTCTCCCCAAACCACACCACAGGGCCAGCTTCAGGGGCACCGCCCCAGCTGTCCAGTGTCATGCACCCCATGGTACAGGAGTGCTAGGTACCTGTCTCAGCAGAGGATTGGATGCCAGGCAACCTAGGTTCTCATTCCAGGCCCTCCAGCCCTCGCCCCTGGGTGGTGAATCCCCTTGCGGAGCTGTCGGGAAGATCCACTGCAATTTAGCTGGTCACAATAAGTCATCAGTCCTGAGCACTATGTGCCAGGCCCTTCCATCATCCTTTGATCCACCCCATAAGATGGGTAACAGCCCTTTCACAAACCACAAGACCGAGAACCAAAGCAGGCAGCAACTTGCTCAGGTTCAGAGTCAGAAAGAAAGCATCCATCTCCCAAGTGGTGGAAAGAACGTGTTTGCTGAATTCCTGTGACTCATACCCAAGAGCTGGCTGCGTGACTTGAGACACCTCGCTGTCTCTCTGGCCCTCTGAAAACAGGAGGCTTTGGAAGAGATTCACTCTCTTGTCTAGTTACAAAGTCTTCAGTGAGCTTGAGGTCCCACTCAGCTCTCAAATTCTACAATGCTGTGGTCACCTCCCAGCAGGTAGGGGGTGGGAAACCGGGACAAGGCCTCTGGAGAAGGAAGATGAGGTGCGGGGGGGGCGGGGGCTGGTGCACGGAACTGCTCGGCTCCCCTGTGCTCACCAGGCCACCAACCCAAGGCCTACCCCAGCTAGCGTGTGTGCACTCGGAGGTCCTATTCCACTGGGCACCAGAGGCAGCCCTGGCGGGGTGAGGTAACAGAGAGTATGTCCCTGCAGGCTCCGGCAATGTTACAGACGACATGGAGAGGCAGGTACAGGCCAACGACATCCGCATCCGGGTCCTGCAGGAGGAGAATGGGCGGCTCCGGTCTATGCTGTCCAAAATCCGGGAGGTAGCCCAGCAGGGGAGCCTCAAGGTGGGCAGCTTGGCTCCTCAACCTGAGAGGGCCGGCCCCTGGGGACTTGGAGGAGGCCCCTGACCCAGCAGGTCTTCAGACCCCGCCCTGGGAACCTACTGCAAGCCTGCCTCATCACATGTGGTTTCCAGCGTTTCAAGCAGGCATGCGGGTGGTACAGTGCCTACCGGCTCCAAATTCCCCCCTCCAGCTCTTGTTGCCTTTATTTCAAGGACAACCAGAAACCTTGTCAGAAAGCCAAACTTCCCACTCTTACCACTGCTGGGGTGGCCCTGGAAGGCTCCCCAAACCCTGCCCGAGAGGAAGGGGCTGTTCAGGTTTGGGCCTTCCCTTCCCCTCCAGGGCGATGACACCCTCGCTGAACAGTGCATTGAGATTTCTTGGGCCTTTCTGAATTTGGCTTTCATTGCAGCTGATCCCCCAGGACCAGCTCTGGGCCCCTCCCAGCAAGGGAATCCAGGGAACACTGTCCCCAGCCCAGGCCCAGAACGCATCCCCAGGGTGAGTAAGACTTTGATGGAGGTGGGGCAGACAGGGGTGAGCTGGTCCTCTTACTCACAGGAGGTCTTGCCATCTGGTCCTCCCCCAGGCCCCTGGGCAGGTGGCAGCTGCCTAGCCGCAGGACAGCCAGCACGGGCAGGACCCTACCATGCCAGCGCCGGGCATCCCCACCTCAGCCATCCTGCAGTCGGCCCGGCGGGTCCTCCCTGGAGGACATGACCCACTCAACCAACTGTGCTCAGAACCCCATCCGGGCCTTGGCCAGGCTGAGGAGGAGACTGTCACCAGGCCAGGGCCAGGCCAGCCCTGCATACCAGCCCCAGGAGCGGCCCACGTAGCCTGCCGTGCAGTGGGGGCTGGAGGGCAGGTAACTGGCAACTTTCAATGTAATAAAGCGCCAGCCATGTGCCCACAGCTCCCTTGGCCTCACAGCAGTGGCTGAGCCAGAGGCAGACTCCTTCCTTCCCCGTTCTGGGCAGGGACCACCGAGTCCCCAGCCCTGCAGGTCATCTGCCAGCAGAGGCCTGGCACACTGTGGGCCCTCAGTAAGTGAGCACTCCCTGCCTCCGTCCCGACAGGGCAGTGGGAGAAGAGAGCACACCAAGGACAGAAAGAAGTGTTAGCACCTGGGCCAGGTCAAAGGCAGTCTTCTGACCCCCATAGCAAGGGCAAAACGGCGACATGGACTCAGCGACCCCTACCAATGGAGAGCAGGGTCAGGGTAAGGGGGTATGTCAGGGAAGGAAAGCAGCTGCCAAGGTAGGTCCAGTGAGGAAGGAGTCAGAGAAGGGGGTCCCGGCTCTGGGCTCACAGAGGCAGGCAGAGGCCAGGGAAGCCTTCCCCAGCCCCAGCCCTGAACCCAGGATGGGGACATTAAGGACCCAGGAAAGTCAGTCCTCATTTTACTAAGGAACTATTCACTTTCAGGAAATGTGAGTCACAAAGGGTTTCTCTAAATCCAGGAGGTTGGATCCCTAGAAGGCAGGGCAAGGCCTCACCTAACCAGACGGTGGGACACCCAGCAAGCCCTGGCTTTCCCAGACCTGTCTCTTGGGGCCCCGGCACTCATGCCACCCAGCCGCGCCAGGCCCACAGTCATTTTCTCCACGAAGCCTCCAGCCTGCCCTGAGTCACCGTGTCAGTGAAGGACAGGCTCTAAGGCCTTGCTCAGGACTTCTCAGGGTCGGCACTCCCAGCTTCCTATGACATTTTCCCCTGGTGAGAAAGCCAACAGGTAGAGTGCCTCAGTTTACAGAGAAGGGTCGAGAAGGGCCATGTGTGTAGCTGAACTGGCATGGCCACTATCTGCCCAACTCTGGCTTCTGTGGAGCCTGGTGTTGCTAAGGGAGACTGGGATGTCCGAGCCCTGCCCTTCACAGGTGAGAGCCAGCCCTTGGGGTGGGGTCCCTGAGGCAAGAGGCGTGGGCCCAAGTCCAGGGGGAGGACCCATCACAGCTCAGCTCCCCTCTGCTCACAGTTCTGGAGGTCAGAAGTTCGGGCCCTGTGGCTGGGTTCTCCGTTCAGGATCTTAGAAGACTCAGTCAAAGTATCTGCCAGGTTACATTCCTTTCTGACAGCTCTGGGAAAGAACCCACTCCCAGGCTTGTTCTGATTGCTGGCAGAATTCCGATTCCTGCAGCTGTAGGACTGAGGTCCACCTCCTTGCTGTGGCTGCTGTCACCAGGGGCCACTCTTAGTGCTTAGAGGCCGTCTGCCCCCCCTTGCCGCTTGGCCCCCTCCATCTTCAAGTCAGCAACAGAGAATTTCTCATGCACTGAATGCCGTTCCTGCTTCAACTTTCTGACTTCCTCTTCTTTCTCCAGGCCAGAGAAAACTTTGCTTCTAATAGGCTCTCGTGGTTAGGTCAGGCCCTCTTGGATACCTTCCCTATCTTAGGGTCAACTCTGCCATCTACTATAACCTAATCATGGGGGTAAAACCCATCAGACTCCCAGTTGCAGGTTTACAACAAGGCATGTTCATGAGGGCTGGGGGGGATCTTGGGGACCGTCTTAGAATCTCCCTCCCACAGGCAGGAGAGCCCAACGCGACTTTTCTGTCTTAAGACATCCACACGAATCTGATCTCTTATGTTAAAATATATCCATATTTACTTCAATATTAAACCTCCCCTACCCCAAATCTAAAAAAACCGGCTGTCCCTAAAAGATGCACCACATTTATCCTGCAGCTTCAAGTATCCTGGTCAGCAACCTGTAGCCCAGCCAAGAAGCACAGGATTGGATGCCTTCAAGGCTTCTGGTCCCAGCCAGGCCTGGGAAGGGAGCCCAGCTGAACAGGCAGGAGCACTTGCAGCTCCTAGTGTCCAAGGGCTGAGGGCAGTATCCGTGGAGGGGCCTCTGGGGTGAACACCACAGCCTTGACCAAGATGTGTCCTGAAAGACGGTCAGGCCGGGATATCCCCAAGGCCAAATAGCTCCTCCCACAACCAACCCCCAATAAATAAGCACAAAACCCGGCCAGCCACTGCAGCCTCAGTCCCCAGGGATGGCCTGACAGGTCAGAGAACCGCCAGAGCCCTGGGAACAGCTGCACTGCCCCACACCCTCCTTCCCCAGGCCGCTGCCCAGGGTCCTGGGAGCTGCCTTCGAGGAGGGCAGACACAGACACCCCAGGATGGTAGAGAAGGGCCCCAAGGTGGCTTCTCTTTTTTGACTGGCAGGTCCAGACTCTGGGGGTCGTGGTCCCTTCTTCCCAGTATGAATATAATGGGGTGCCTTGCCCCTCGGCAGGAGAGGCCCCTATCCTTCCTTCAACCAGCAGGGCTTCCTGTCCAACCACTCTACTGTTCCAGGAGCCCAGGCCAAGGGCCAGGGTGCAGGCGGGAGGGTCCTTTGCCCACATGCAGAGACCCAGCAGGGGCAGCTAATCGTCTGAGTAGCGGTTCCCTGCAGGGGAGGAGGAAAAAACAGGGAGGGAGGTGTCAGGTGGGGAGCAGGTAAAGCCAGCCAAGGGCCCCCACCGCTGGTGCTTACCCAGGACATTGAATTTGCATAGCGGGCAAGTCTGCTGGAGCATCAGCCAGGGGTCCACGCAGTCTCGGTGAAACTCATGCTTACAGGGCAGCACCCGGAGCCACTGCAGGGTGTGGGGGAAGGCTTCAGGCCAGAGTCAGGCCTCCAAGTGGGGCTGTCCCCCACCTGCGCAAGGGAACTGAAACCCCTGCGGCCTGTCACCCTCCCCCACCCCCCGCAACACCCCATTCTGCTTTCCTAGTTACAGTAGGAGCTGGGAGGATAAGGGCCTGGTAGGAACGGTTCTGGGGTCTCTCGGGAGTAGAGAGACATCACAGGTCAGCTGACGGCTGGCCAGTGCCCGCGGCACTAACCTGCTTGTTGCAGAAGTAGTCCAAACACACGGCGCAGGTCTCAGCACCAGGTTCTGGGGGGCCCTGGGTTGCCCTGCCCAGACGGCAGCGCCGGGTCTTGAGGGATGCCAGTCTCCGCACCACGCGGAGCTTGAGCAGATCCACCTGGTGGGGGACGGCAGGTACAGTTAGGCAGGCTGGAGGTTTGGGGGCACGGGGGCTCCCAGGGGCTGGCTCTCACCTGGCCGCCAGGTTCCCGCTGGCTCTGTCTTGACGCCTGCCGCTGGGCCTGGACCACGAGGCCTGTGCACAGGAGCATGGCCACCAGCAGGATGGCGTTCCACAGCTGCTGCAGGGGCTTCTGGGCAGAGGAACAGGGTGTCAGGGATGCTGGGACCGCTCTACGCTCTTCCCCAGTGAATCCACTCTGAGGACCAGGCAGGTAAGGTCCATTGGCAGCGTGTCCCTGCAGGCTCCTGGCTTCCTCTTCTGAAGCCTGCGTGCCTCCCATCAGTGCCCCCAAGGTCTCCTTCCGCTGTCTATACAGCTACTCGTCCAGGTGCTGAGGCGACCCACATCTGTCCCCAGCCCCTCTCCTGGGCAACAAATGCAGTGTTTTTTGCATTCTTGGAACTTCTCTCTGGCAGCCTCACAGACTCCCTGGCCCAGGACCCTATCACTTTCCCACCCCTATCCCTACCCATTTGCATCTGGGCCGAGCATTCACATGGTCCCGTGGCTTCACTCTTAGGTGGCTCATGCACCCCTCCCCTCCACCCCACTCCTCTGCTCTTTGGGGGCCCTACTCCAGCCTCACCAGCCCATTTCCCACAGCGACAAGGATCTCACCTGCAAACTTGATCACACAGGACCCCTGCTTGGCACCCTTCCCTGCGACGCCTCCACCCTCAGGAGAGACCCCAAACTCCTAGCAGCCATCTGGCAAGGCCCTAGATCGCCCCTCCCCTCTGTCCTTTCAGGGTCCTATGCTCCTCGCTCTTTCTCGTGTTCCCAGTTCTTCTGCACCCCTTCCTTCAGCTAATGCCTTCAGATCCCCCTTGCTCCAGAGCTCTCCGTGACCACCAGGGCTAGGCAGATGCTCCCTACTTGCCTCCCCCTGCCCAGCCCAGCCCTCCTCACACTCTTTACTGTGTGTTTCTTCATTGCTGCCCTCGGTGGTCCTCAGGCTCCCGCTGGTGGGAAGGAACCACATCTGAGAGGCCCCTCGGGACCTCAGAGCTCCTGGGGCAGGGATGGGGGGGCACGCACTGACCTTGACTTAACTCCCCCCACCCCATAGCAGTGTGGCAGCTGGGCTTTGACTACAAAACAGCTGGCTCAGGAAATGATGTGGCAGAGTAAGCAAAACCCAGATGGCTCACCCACACAGGCACACCGGGTCACAGGGTCTCTGGATGTGTCATGACTAATAAATGCATACATTTAAAAGCTTTCCGCATTCCTAGTAGTTTTCTGCCACCATGTTCTTCCCCAGCCAACGATGAAGTTCAACTACCATCGTGTTGGGGGAGAGGGTCCGAGAAGTGATTTGCCGCTAAAAGAGAACACCACTCGACGAGGCTGGGTGCTGCTGGTGTCACAAGACACCGCTCTTGCTCACAGTGGAGGCACCCGAGAAGCCATTATCAAGAGATGTCCATGAGCCCCAGCTTCCCGTTCCTCCCCTTTCCCCTCCGGTCTCTGTACCCGTCTTCCCTGGGGAGTGGGAGAAGGTGGTGGCACCTGCTCCGGGAAGCTCTCCCCAAGCCCCCAGGCTGAGCTCAGATGTGTCCACTGTGTTCCAGAGGGCCCATGCCTACCCCCAGCTCGGTGCTCACCCCAGCAGAGTGACGGCCATGGCCCTTCTCCGCCCCAGACGGGGCCCCAGGAGCCCAGGGCTGGAGCTGCCCTGCCTTTGTGCCCTGGGCCCTGCTGAGCCAGGCGGACACGTGGCAGGACTCACTGAGTGGCCACTGCAGTGTAAGCTCGTCAGGGCAGAACCTGGAGCTCCATGCTCTGGAGCAGCCTGTGAGCACTGGCTGGGCAAAGGGCATGGCCAGCTTGGAGCCCTGCTGCAGGCTGGAGATCCGGTCTCCTCAGGCTCAGCACATCCTAGGGGACCCCCAGGTGAGGGAGGGAGGGCAGGGTCTGTCCATCAGAGCAGTTAGGGAGTGGTCCACCTGACCTTTCTGATGCATGGGTGCTGTAGCTCTGGATTCCCAGGCTCAAAGGACAGTGACTGGGCCCTAGGGTTGGGGCTGAGAACTGGCCCCAACCACCCTTAAGCCACCTTGGCTATCATGGCTACCCGGCACTTGAACAGGCCCACCCTGGCTGGCAGCACGACTGTCAGCTTTGCCCTCTGTACCAGCCAGACAACCTGCGGACTGCATACATTCCCACTCCCAGGCCCCTCGCTCAGCCCACTCTTCCCCTAGCTCCAGCCTCTCTGCAGGCACTTCCTCGCTCATCTGACAGCCCCTCACCAAATGCCTGCGCCGCCCAGACGTCTGTGTGGGCTGCCCTCCAGGGGGAGAGCCGGTGGGGCTCCCTCTTCTTCCAGAAAGCCCTTTCCTTCCCCCCAGTCCCGGTGCCTGTTCCCTTCACACAACTGTGGTTCAGTTCCTGCTGCTCAAATTGGAATGAGCACATGGCGCCTGGGCTGAACTGCCGAGGCCTTTTTGTGTGAGAGTCCCTTCCCTGCTTGTCTTTGAGCCCCTTTAGGACAGTGCCCGGGTCTCACAGGTACTTTGGACCCTCCCAGCCCTTCTCATCGAGCCCTACATGTCCTAGGACCTCAAAAGTTATCTGGTGACTGCTAATTTATTCAAGCACTTATAACAATAAACACATTCAGAGTAGCAGGAGTGGCCCACCTGCGCCGTGCCCACCGTGAGCTTTCTGTACACATGCCCCCTGGCAATCCCGTGGCCGTGTGCTGTCCTTGTTCACAAACGAGGAACATGAGACCAGAGAGGTTAAACGCTCAACCTGAGATCACTCAGCTAAGTCCGCAAGTCTGCCTGACTTTTGAAGCTGCCTCGCATGGCCCCAATCCCACTGACACCTGCTGGAGGCTGCCCACCGGGAGAAAGGACATGCCCGCCCTGACAGAGCAGGGACTCACGAGATGCTTGTGGAGAGAATAAATGTGAACCTTCTCGATGCCCAGCATTGAGAAATCCAGAGACTAGTAAGACACAGCCCCAGCCATCGGTAGACCAAGTCACATTCCCCAACACTTACACACTTTGGGCTATCCTAAGAACGCTTTGAAGGGTCTGACAAAGCACTGCTGCGATTTAGAAGGAGGGAGAGAAGGACGTTGGGCTGAGGTTGTGAGGGAAGCCTTCCAAAGCAGGCAAGCAGATGGGGACAAATGGAGACAGAGGAAAAGAGTGTCCATGCCTGCAGCCAAGCATGGACAAGGCCTAGTGGCAGGAGGCTAGGGCGTGTATGAAGGCCAGGAAATGGCATAGGGCGACAGGGTATAAGGAAGAGACCAGGAAAAAAAAAAAAAAAAAAAAGGCGAGTAAACAGGAGAGCTGTGAAAGCTAGGCTAAGGAGTCTAAACTTTATTCTGCAGGCAATGGGGAGCCAAGGAGGGCTTCTAAGCGGGAGAATGACTTGACAATAGTACCTAACACTGATTATGCATGGCCCCATCAGGCACTGCACTGAGCACCCACCGTGTCAATGAGTGCTCATTACAGCCCTGGGGCATGGAAGAAGCAGTCCTGGCCACCAAGGTGAGGAGAGGGCACAGGATCTGAGACAAGGCATGTGTGCAGTGCCACCCGAGCCGCCTCTTCCCAGGCACCCACCTGCTCCTGGGCCCGACTGCCTCCCAGGCACACCAAGTCCTGCCATCCTCCGTAGCCATCCTTGGAGAGGCCACAGGTGGTCCACAGGGTCAGCTTCCACTCGATGTTGACTGACAGCGACTCTCCGCTGGTGATCTCGGCTGTGGCCTGAGTCCTCCTGGAATGGAAAGCCACAGAGGGGCCAGAGAGAAGGGCTCTTGGGAGGAGAGGCCCAGACCCACCCACCTCAGCCTTGCAGGAGAAAGATCTTCCCAAGTATCATCCCACAGCCCTTCTGCTTTGGCCCCCAGGCCTTTTCTGGTCATTGGTTTTTCCAGTTCTCACAACAGCCAGGCCAGGGAGGCCTGCAAGTCTCGGAAAGAACCTGTCAATCAGGAATCCAGCTCCCTCCTTGCTGGAGCCAATTCCCCTCTGCCCCTAGAGCTGCCTCTTTGCTCCAGTCCCCTCACCCATTTTTCAGACCAGGAGACTACGATCTTAAGGTTAACAGAAAAAGACCCCTGAGACCATGGCAGATTCAGGGACCCCTCAGCACCCAGCTCCCAGGCCCAGTCCTTGGAGCCTAAACCCCAACTCACTGCAGCAGTGCTTCCAACAGCTTGGTGACATTGGAAGAGTAATGGAGGACAATCACTGGCCTGAGCAGAAGCTGCGATATGTCTAGCTGTAGAAGAAGGATGGACAAGGAGGTCAGCTGGCCTTGGTCCCCTCTTCCCTGGCCTGCACACCCCCACTACCTGAACCGGTTTACCTCTCGGACCACGTTATGGTTCAAGATGAGGAGGAGCAGGGCAGAGGCTCCCAGGAAGAGTGCCCTCCGCATCTGCAAGGGACAGAGGCAGAAGCTAGCTGGCACCCTGCCCACACACTTGTCTCACTACCCACGACCACAGTTCTTAGCTCCTGGCTCTGCAGTGAATGTTTCCTCTGGACAGAATGGCTGGCATACTCCTTGAGGTCAAGGGCAGAAACTCTTATTCCTCCTGCCATTCCCCCAGATGTTCTGTGGGACCCAAACTATTACGTGCCTTCCCTAGTAGGACAGGCCTGCCCACCAACTCTCAGCAGGAACTCCCCATCTGATACTCTCAGAGCCTGGTGGAGCTTCCTGACCCTGGCCTCCTCCCACCTCCCTGCTTCCACTCCATACTGATTCAATTTTCCAAACTGGGGTCCCTCACCTCATCCAGGCCCAAGATTTCTCTGGAAGCTCCTTAGGGGCCCACCTGGTAGTCTGGCTCTGGCAGATGCCTTGAAACGGCTTCCTTCAGCCCCCTTCCCCACATACACCCCGTGCACCTGCTGGACCAAGGCCTTGGGATAGGCCTGCGGGCCGCTGCCCTGACTCTCCTGGTGGAACTGGGCCGCCTGCTCCTTGCCCACGTATGCCACTGCAATCCAGCCTTCTACGGGCACCTCCTGCTCAGCATCCACGATGTCCATCTGTAGGTCAAGGGACCATGGGCAGAGGGAGGAGGGAGGAGGGAGGGGGGCTGGACACACAGGGGATGCAAGGCCAGGGTTGGGGAGCGAGTTTGAAGGGGAAGGCATCTGGATCTCAGGTTTTGGAAGCCGGGGTTTGAGACCTGGGCAGCTCGGGGAGGGGGCGCTCAGCTGCTACGGCTCGGTCCAGGATAAAGGCCGGATCTGGGTGCGGGGTCTACGGCGGGGCGGGCCGGGGCCAGATGGCTCGGCTGCGCTCACCAGCAGCAGGCGGCCGCCCAGCGCGGGTGCCGGGTCGGCCTCGGGGCCGATCCTGACGCCCTCCAGGACCAGAGCGTCCTGCCGCGGCAGCCTCACGTCCACCCGTACAGCACGGGCCCCGCCCCGCCCCGCCCCGGCCTCAGGCTCGCTGCCGTCCGCCGCGGCCCCGGGTCCCGCCAGGCCCAGCCAGAGCGGCAGCAGGGGCAGCAGCAGCAGCAGTGGCGACGGCGGCGGCGGAGGAGGCGGCGGGGGCGACCTCAGCGCGGGGCGAGCGGCGGGGCCCATGGCCGGACCCGGCGAGCAGACGAAACAGGGGCGCCGGGGGTCCCGGCGCGGGGCGGGGGGGGAGGGAAGCGGAGGGAGAGAGGCCGCGGCCGGACGGGGCGGGGCGCCGGGAGGGGCGGGGCCGGGGCCGGACGGGGAGGGGCGCCGGGAGGCGGGGGCCGTGAGTCCTCGGCGGCTCTGGCGCCCAGACCGGGCCGCGCGCGCCCCCTGGTGGACGCGGAGAACTCCGGCGCCAGCGGCCGTGGCTGCTGGAGTGGGGCGGAGCCCGGGAAGAGGTAGTCACACGGCTTGCGGCGTTGTCAGGCTGGCGGAGACCAGAGCTGGGGAGACCGAGGGAGATAGTTGGCGACATGGGAAGGCAGAGGCACGATCAGGGCCCCAGAGGGCAGGAACAAGGGACGTATGGTGGCCTGGAGGCTGGCTGACCCTTGCTGTGCGCCAGCCTTACGGTAACTCGGTGTGGCCTTAGTCAAGTCACACCCTCAGTCTTCCCTGGGCTTCCATCTCTCCACCCGACCGAACTCCAGGAGACAGAGAATCAGACAGATTGGCGTGGGAAGCATATGGGGGAGATTGAGGCAAGGGTCCCGGAGGGGCAGAAAGAGGGGCTGGGGACGTTTGCCTAAACAAAGCAGGCCAGACACAGCTCCTCAGGGGGGTCCAGAGGCTAGGTCTTCAGGCAGGTCATTTTTCTGGATAGTGAAACGGGCACGATATTAGAGGAACACTGCCTCATCTCCAACAAATAATCTCGGATGCCTACAGGAATGTGAGAAGTCCACACACTGTCCTAAAACTCATCTTTTTCTCCATGGGTTGTGGCTGCTGGGAATTGCCTCGTCTGAAACCTGAGCCTTTTAAAAATTGTATCCTGATAAAAGGGCGAAGGCCAGATAAGCCACAACACTCTTTCCCCCAATATTTTTTTTATGAAAAATTTCAAACATACTAAAAAATGGAAAGAATTTTATAGTGAACACCCATATAACCACTAACGTTGAATTGTCAAGATGCTCCTGAGGAATAACATGGAGAGACTAAGAGAGTCTGATGTAAGTCCAAAGACAGACAAATGGGGCATCAAACAGAGAAGGCAGAAACTGGCCTATACACAGAACTGTGGCTTTGTCAGAGGGAGCACTGCAGTTGGAGAGAGGGGCAGTATGATGGACTGTTTGGCAAATCATGCCAAGAAAATGAGTTAACCATAAGAAAAAGCAATGAAATTGGACCTCTACTGCACATCATACCGGAAAAATCAATTCCATGTGAATTAAAGATCTAAATATGAAAAGTAATACTTTAAGCATTTTCAGAAAGAAACATAAAAGACTATCCTGTTTACTTCAAGGTCAGGAGAGATTTCTTTCTACATAAAAGCAGATTATAAAGGAAATGATTGAAGAAATGCATCCACAATAAAATGAAAAACTTGTGTTAATCAAAACCTTGTAATAAAGTGGTAGGGAAAGCAACAAACTGGGAGAAGGTATTTGCAACCAAATTATTCCTATGCAGAATATACAAATGCATAGATAAGGGCCCAAGATGCAAGTAGGCATTTGACAAAAGAGGAAACAGCAATGGCCAATAAATATGAAAAGATGCTCAACCTAATCATTAATTAGGGAAATACAAGTTAAGATCACAACTCATCACTAGGAGAAGAGATAAATTTGTGGTACATTCATATGTAAAATACTGTGCAATAGAGAAAAACAAATGGATTAGTTGTGTGTCTCACCATGGATAATTCTAATAGAACGCTTAGCACAAAAAGCAAGTCTCCAAATAATACATACAATTTAAGCTCAAAAACATCAGGACTTACAAGAACAGTACACAAAAATCAGTTGTGTATCTCTACGCCAGCAATGAATGATTTTATTTTATTTTTATTTTTTATTTTTTAAGATTTTTATTTATTCATTTGAGACACAGAGATACAGAGAGAGAGAGAGAGAGAAAGCATGAGCAGGGAGAGAGGCAGAGGGAGAGGGAGAAGCAGGCTCTTCGCTGAGCTAGGAGCCCGATGTGGGGCTCGATCCCAGGACCCTGGGATCATGACCTGAGCCGAAGGCAGACGCTTAACCATCTGAGCCACCCAGGCGCCCCTGAATGATTTTATTTTATTTTTTTAAAAAGATTTTATTTATTTATTTGAGAGAGAGAGAGAATGAGAGATAGAAAGCACGAGAGGGAAGAGGGTCAGAGGAAGAAGCAGACTCCCTGCTGAGCAGGAAGCCTGATGTGGGACTCGATCCCAGGACTCCAGGATCATGACCTGAGCTGAAGGCAGTAGCTTAACCAACTGAGCCACCCAGGCGCCCGCCCCTGAATGATTTTAAAAGGACATGAAGACAACAATTCCATTTATGATAGTTGCCCAAATAAATAAATAAATAAAACACCTGGAAATAAGCTTAAGCAGGGAGCTGAAAGACCTGTGCACTGAAAATGGCAAAACATTGCAAAAATAAATGAAAGAAGACCTAAATAAATGGAAAGACATCCATGTTAATGGATTGGTAGACTTAATATTGTTAAGATGGCTATACTACCCAAAGCAATGTACAGATTCAATGCAATTCCTATTGAAATTCTAATGACCTTTTTGAAGAAATGGAAATCCCATCCTAAAATCTACATGGAGTTGCAAGGAGCCCTGAATACCCCCTGTTGACAAAAAGAACAAAATTAGAGGACTCACACTTTCCGATTTTAAAATGTACTACAAAGCTACAATAATCAAAACAGTGGTTCTGGCGTAAAGAGACTTATAGATCAATGGAATAGAATTGCTAGTCCAGAAATATACCCAGATATCTACGGCCGATTGATTTTCAACAAGGGCACAAAGACTATTCAATAAGGGAAAGAATAGTCTCTTTAACAAATGGTGCTGGGACAACTTGGACAGCTACATGCAAAAGAGTGAAGATGGACTCCTACCTCACACCATATACAAAACTTAACTCAAAGTGGGTCACCAGTGGGAATGTAAAATGGTGCAGCAGCTATGGAAAATTGTATGGTGGTTCCTCAAAAAATTAAACATAAAATTGCTGTATCATCCAGCAATTCCACTTCTGGGTATATATCCAAAATAATTGCAGGGACTTGAACAGATATTTGTACACCAATGTTCATAACAGCATTATTCACAATAACTGAAAGGTTAAAACAACTGAAATGTCCACTGATGGATGAGTGGATACATTTTGATATGTCCATATGATGTGCTATTATTTAGCCATAAATAGGAATGAAGTACTGACCCGTGCTACAACATGGATGAACTTTGAAAACATTATGCAAAGTGAAATAAGCCACACAAAAGGCCTAGATATCGAATGATAAATCCAGAATAGATAAGTCAGGAGAGAGAGCAGATTGGTGGCTGGATGGAAGGGGAAATGATAAATGACTGCTTAACGGGTACAAGGTTTCCTTTTGGGGTGAGGAAAATCTTTTGGAACCAGATAGAGGTGCTGGCTGCATAACATTGTGAATGTACAAAGTACCACTGAATTTTTTTACTTTAAAATGGTTAATTTTATGTTATGTAAATTTCACCTCAATTAAAGAAAAAAAATGGAGCTATATTTTTAAGAGATAAATTCATCTGTAACAAAACTATAAAGAAAATCAAGGGACCAAGAAGCACTAACTTCAGTTTACCAGGTGGGATGTAATTGGGTAAGGACACCCAGGGGTGTTCTGCTTCTTAAGTCACATGGGTATTCCTTATATCATCCTTTATTCTTTGTGTGGGTTACTAATGTTCTTTCGTACCCTAAGAAATCACTCTTCGTAAGTTGCAAAATGCACTATGCAGGCTCCTTTGTGTCCACGGAGAGTCTTGCTTCTCCAGTTCCATGAACGTCCCAGCCCATCTGTCACCCCCAATGACAGGGTTGCAAGGACACACCCTGTAATCAGTGAGGCTGTTGGCTCCATGGTCTGCCTATCCCTATTCCCACTACTTGCTCCCTAACCTCATCCTGCCCACTTAGGCAGAGGGGTCCTCGCTGCCCCCTTAACACACACACACACACACACACACACACACACACACACTAACCAGGCACAGACCCTTGCCTATACCTGTCCCCAGCCTGGAACAAGTTTCTGCTTCCCCACGAATATCCACGTCCTAGCTTTCCATCAGTGGGAGCCTGCGCAGCCATGTAAACTTGGTGAGTAAACAAAGTTACTCTGCGGTCTGTCCTCCCACTGGGGAACCGTTAGTTATCCTGGAAGAGGCAAGTGCTTGGGGAGATAGTCTAAATGTGGCAGGGGATAGCCCAGCCCAGGCCAGCCAGGGCCCTTCTGCTGTTGTGTTGGTGGGGAGTGCGGTGGGGGCGGGTGTAGGAGGAGTGAAGATCAGAGCTGCATTGGAGGGAGTATTAGTCCAGGGACAGGACAGCGAAGGCCAGGAGATCGATAGCAGGGAATGAGTACCAAGAGAGGCCTTGCTTGGGAGCGCGGCATCTGAGGAAGAGGAGACTAGAGGACCCCACAGGGAAGGACAAGATCCCAGCTGGGACAAGAGGCAGGCCTGGTGTTGAACCGTGGGCCTCCCTGCTCTCAGGGCTGGGCAGACAGGATGCTCAGCCCTGTGGGCCCCTCCAGAGGAGCCAAGAACCCGGATCCCAGCTGGCTTCACTTCTGGGGCTGAGTGGGGAGCTGGAAAGAGTAACAGGGTTGTTACTCTTTCTACCGTGTCCCTCCAAGCAAGCCACTTCCTTTTTCTTGGCTTGTGTCCCCAACTGTAAAGGAAAATGAGAGTCGGACCAAACAATTTGGGGGCAGGGAGTCGTTTCACCAGACATGCTGTGATTCCAAGTGGCTTGTGTCTTGGATGACAAGGTTTCCTGGCCCTGGGCTGGGCTGTGAACTGTATGGAGGAGTGTCCTATCTCCTTCACCCCCTAAAGTTGCAGGAGGACCTAGGAAGAAATGAAGCTGTTAATGAAAGTGTGAGGTTTGGGATGCATT